TTCTTATGCTAATGAAATAATTTCCAGCTACTTTTTAGCTGTTTTACTGAAAATTTCAGCTGTTATTTTGCTATAAATTATCACTTTTATGTAATTTTATGATTTTTTTTTCAGCTTTGTTTCTGTTTTAGCTATTTTTCAACTATAATAATTTCATCTTGGTTCTAATTTCAAATTGTGGCTGCTACCTTTAGCTTATTTTACGCTAATTTTAGCTATTTTATGCTACTTTAGCTATAGATCTGCTTCTTTCTGCTATTCATCTGTTTTTTTTTTACTTTTTATGCTTTTTTCTGCTACCTAGTGCTGTGTACAGTATGCTTCTTACATATGTTTTCAGCTATTCAGATATTTTAGCTCTTAGCTTTTAGCTGTTTTCTCTTTTCAACTAGATTTGTGCTCCTTTTTACTGTTTTTCTACAATGTTACGATTTTTTGCTTCTTACAGCTTTTCAAAGCGCTGCATTAACACTTTTCCTATAAAAAGTTTTCAGCTCAKTTTCAGCAGATTTCAGCTTAAGTTTTCAGCATGAAGCATTCACAGTAGCATTTTTACAAGAAATGCAYTTTCTCTAGTTAAAATTTTGTCCTTCTGGAGATTGTCAGATAAATAGATCTTTCATGAAAATAAAAAAAGCCCAAATAGATATTGGGAGAAAGTGTGATGGCCAGCCAACTCAGAGGAGCTCTGAGGATTTAGATTAGTCTATRGATTTGATTTTAAATTCAGCAAAACCACTAATTAATCACACTCTTTTTGTCAAAGTTTGAAGCTGCAACTTTACACAGTTTTGTGGCAGCCAACATGCTGAGTCTAAATACAACTTTTCAACCTCTTGAAACTTTTAATTGACAACTGATTTAAGCATATATGAACACAGAACAAATATTTTGCAAATGAAGCACAAAAAATGGATGTCAGGCTGTCTGTCGGKCCAGGCCTCCCTTYCAAAAGAGTTCGGCGATCTCAGTAGGATTTGCCTGATTAAATAAAGATTAATAAGTAATAGAGGCAAGGCTACGACACCATAGTTTTCACATTTTGTGTTATTCATTGGAAAACACAAAAGGTTGCATTTCAACCTTTTATTACTTTGGAAAACTGTTTTGAAACATATTGTTTAAGAGCTTCTACAATCCTGTTTCAGTGTGGACACAAAGCAGAAACAAAGAAAACTTAAGTGTTCATAAAAATCATTCCCTTGTGGACAAACTGAGAATCACTCAGGAATAATAAAAAAGTAATCTGATCTCTCAGCATTAGCAGCCAGATGATAAAACCTTTATACAAAAATACTGGAGGTTCTACAGTTAGTCATACCAAAGTGTAGATGTGGTATTTTTGTGTTTTAATACTAACTCAGAGTTTTTAACTTGTCCAATCACTGAAGCCTAAGACTACACGTGGAGAAATGATTAATGATTAAAAAAATCAAGTAGGTTTCTCCATTAAACATCATACCCTTTTGTCTTTTTATGACTCAAGAGCTAAACATCAAAAGTTATTTAAAAATAACAGTGTTGCTCAGATAAATGATCATGGATAGTTTGCAAAGAAAAAGCCTAAAATGTTTATCATTTAGCACAGCTCAGGTATGAAAGGTAATTTCAGGCAGACTCTCAGATGGTTTTGAGGTTAAAAAGTGACTTCTTTGGCTCATGACTGTGACATCAAGCATTTTCTCACAGACAGGTTATTGACTCAGAAAGSTTTACTTGTCTAACTGTTATTTTTAGAGGGTGGAAGGTCAGAATGTAATTTTGAGTGAATCTAAGTGAAACAAAAAAGAAGGGTTTAATTCAGGGGGTGCAACATTTTTACATCTTCCCTTCAGTGTTAGATCTCAAAAACATTCAGGACAGATAAATTGTATTGAACCAAGAGGGCAATATGTTTTAGATCATTTGACTTTTTAGTGTTTCAGTTCACAACTAACTTCGAACATAACAGTTAATCCTGTTTTGTTTCCAAAAATATGCTTTCATATAAGCAACAGTATGATGCAAAACAAGATTTTATTACAAGAAACCAAAGTGAACCCTCTTTTCTGATAAAATTTGGGATGTTTAAGAGTTAAAAATTGAAATGCAATGATTTGCAAATCCAATAAAAACGTATTTTATTTACTGTGGTGTAAAGGAATCATATCAAATGTTGAAACTTATAATCATTGTTAGGAAAGGTGGGGGGAATAATTTATTTAAACCTAATTGTAGCTTTACATCATTCTACTAACATATTAACATTCAAGTGTTTAAATGTCTTGTGAAAATGTTCCCTATGGATTCTGACCAGACTGGAATCCCCACATTAGGACTTGATCAGAGCAGTATGTTAATAACTAAGTGTAAACTAAAATAAATAAATAAATAAATAAACTCATTACCTAATTGGGAGTTATAAAGAGACAAAGTGGCTGCATTTGCTTTTTACTGAGCTTTTTACTACAGTTCATTAATCTCCTGCAGCCAAGTGAAGGCTGATTTGAGAAGTAGTTCAGCAGAGCTTGGTGCAATTAAGCATGGCTGTCTGCGAAGTTTACCTTGATMAAATCATCAGAGAATTCCACCAGATGACTAGAAACCATGTCCACCAAAGCCCAACCTTGTTTAAACAGAGCCCTGATGGCGCAGTCAGAGAGAAACACAATCCCCATTCATCTGTATGTGGAAGTGGGTGTGACAAATTCACTTCCACTTTTGAATTGGGCTGTCTCCTTCGCTTCGGAGAGGCTTCAATCTGATTTAACTTTTACTTGGAAAATTGTGAGGCTGTCTTACAAGCAATCCGTTTTGAAACAAAGTGTGAAACTGGCCACTAAATCAGAAAATGTTTGATTATAATCTTAATTTATAAAAAGGCGCCATAAAATACTGAAAAAATAAACAAAAAACAGATAATCAGGGTTGTTCAGAGAGCTCTGCCAAAACCATTTTCCTTGCTGTCCTTATTTTTAGCCACAGCATGAGAGTTAATATAATTCAGCAGATATTTGTTTGTTCAACCTTGTTGTGAAGCTGAACTGATGTGGACATGTTCAGAGAGACACTGTAACACTATTTAGAATAAATAAGGTAGGTGTTAGAGAGTAATATACGTAACCATCAATCAAGTGACAGGTGACACGCCCCCTTTTCGGGGGGGCGGGCGGGGGGAGGGGGGCATCCGTCATGTCCATATATGGTCAACTTCCGGTGACTTCCGTTCTCTTTTGATTGACCGTAAGTAACCCTAGCCCTCCTTCACCCTCCTTTCACCCACAACCTTTGACTTATAGTAACCCTAGATTTCATCAGATACCTTCAAGAATATTCTGGTG